CCCCCCCCCCCCACCACCCCCTGCCCAATCCCGGCGCCATGCCGCTCCCCGGCCGCAGCTCACACATCAAGCTCAACTACACCTACGGAACATCCCTGCCGTTCCGCAAGACCGAGCTCACACCTCCTGAACCTGCCGCCCCCGAGCCTTCACCCACGCCCACGACCACGCCCACGTCGGCTACGTCGACCACCTCGCCGCCTCCCGCCTCGCCGCCTGCTGCCTCGCCACCCGCTGCCTCGCCACCCGCTGTCTCGTCGCCCGCCTCATCCTCCACATCTCCGGCCATGCCAACGGCCACGCGTGCCCCCTCCTCATCGGACAAGCTGCGGCCGGCCAAGATCGCTTACGCCACCCAGGAGCGGCTGATTGTCAACCCGGCCGTGACCAAGCGGACGCTGCTGGCGGCGTACTACATCCTCACGCCCGAACAGTATGCCGGTGTTGAGACTGAGCGTGCCGCTGATGGCCGCTGCGGCTATCCGCTTTGCTCCAAGGCCACGGTCGACGCCTCGCCGCGCGGCAGGTTCCGCATCACCCGTGACGGCCTCCTCGACACCACCCGCGCTCGCATGTTCTGCTCACCCGAGTGCACCAAGGCGTCTGCGTTCTTTGGTAAGCAGCTGCCGACCGACCCGCTCGCCGCCCGCAACATCGCCGCCCTCGAGGCTGCCGGCGGCGCGGTGACTTACGACGACATGGACGCGGACGGCCGCGTCAAGCCCGACGCGCTCCGTGTGCTCTCCGCACCGGTCTCGCGGCCAAAGGCGAGCGTTGCAGCCGCAGAGCCGATTCCGACACCGACGCTTGCCCCGGCGCGCAAGCCTGACGCCCGCCCGCTCTCCCATGCCGTGGTCGAGCGCGACACATCGGCGGCACCGGTGGTGGCGCCACAGGAGACTCGCATCGCGCCGCCGCTCTTGCCCTCCAATGCACACCTGCACTACCAGCTCAACCCGCAGACGGGCCCGCCTTCAGCCTCGTCGTCGGTCTCGTCTGTTGCCGGCTCGGAGACCGACGAGACCGAGGTGTGGGACGACGACACAAGCAGCGAGGTCGTCGAGTATGGCGACGACGACGACGATGACGACGATGATGGCGAGATCGTGCTCCCCGAGCCGTCGAGCTTTGTTCAGGTAGCGATGGTGCTGATGGCACTGGTCACACCTGCTACCGCGGTCTTTGTGGCCAACGGCAATCCCGACGCGCCCGACGTGCCTGTCGAGTCCCCGGCCCAGCTCTCGCGCAAGTTTGAGCATGTCCAGTACCGCGAGCTGGTCAAGGGCACGGTTCTACGCGAGCTCTCGGACGCGTTGCCCGACTTTTGCTACAAGGCCGATGGCGTGCCGCTGAGGGCGCTGAGCCTGGTCGAAGACGTCGCTGCCACCTTTGCCTACTTTACCAACATCCCAGACCTCCCGCGCCCACTCTGGTCCGTCGTTGCGCTCGTTCTCCTCCACGCGCTCCGGGCCCGATCCCCCGAGCTAGACGCCTTTCTCGCCTCCAACACTGTCCACTGCGCCGGCGTCCTCCGCGCCGCCGGCATCGACCCGACCTCGCTCAACTCGCTTGTCCTCATGGTCACTGGCGCGTCGTGATGAACGAGGGTGATGATGATGATGATGATGATGATGATAGCGAATGCCTGCACTCGCCCACCGACCGTGCCGAGTCGTCCCAAAAAATATTTCCTCCGCCCCATGCTCCGCCCCATCTCCACGCATTGTTGTCGTGGCAGCCCTCGTTCGGCCTCCCTCCCCTCCCCCCCCTTCCTCCACCACCCCTACCCCTTCTCTGGCTCCCTCCCGTCAGCGGCCACCGCACAGCCACAGCCTCTCCCAGCTACACCTGACACTCGACCCAGGAAACTACCACAATCTCCACTCACCACACCAGGATGGAGGAGCTACTGGCCCCGCTGCCGCCGCACTGGGTGCCTGTCCCTGCACCCCAAACGGCTGCTTCCCTTTCGGCCGCCTCGTCCGACCAAAAACCAGCAACGGCGACGTCAACGACGGCGTCGACGACGGCCTCGGTGGCCACGACGTCGGCTTCCGCCTCTACTGCCATTCCGCCTATCCTCCTCGCTACGACCCGTCAGCCGGCTCCGTGCCGGACTACCGAGCCGCCACCGGCGCCGTTTGCCCCGCCCTTTGTCCTGCCCAAGGCCGTTCCTCTCTCGGCCCCACCATCGGCTGAGGACTTGCTCGCTGAGGACCCGTCCGCCGATGCTGACTTGAAGGCCAGTGGCGAAGTGGTCGAGGACAGCGGGGACTCGTCGTCGAGCGACTCGTCGAGCTCGGCCTCGGGCTCGGGCACGTCGAGCTCGGGCTCGGGGTCATCGTCGAGCTCCGACTCGAGCTCCGACTCGAGTTCGGGCGACGGAGGCAAGGAGGAGAAAACTGCGCCGGCAGCGCCACCGGCAAAGCGGCGCCAGTCGCTGGCGCAAAACTCCAGCTCGATGGTCGACATGGCGGTCCAGCTGGCGCAGTCGACGCTCAAGGCGGCAGCGCCGGCGCTCGATCGTCCTGTGCCGCTCAAGACAGCACCCGCGCCCGAGGGCTACTCGCCTGCACGTGAGCTGGCGAACCGGGCGCTCGACGTGGCCACCCGCGAGTGGATAACGGCCGGGCCCGAGTGCGATGCCGTCGTCTACAAGGGCCTCCGCCCGCTCATGGTGGACGCGCTCGACGACCCGCAGTTTGCACTCCTCCCACCGGACCAGGAGCACCACGTGGCGCCGACACCGGAAGTGGCCACCGACGACAACGCGAACGACTCTGACCTTGCTGATGCTGTTCCGGTCGAGCTCCCGCCCAAGGGCGACAAGCCAAGCTCGACGCTGGAGCCTCCGGCTCCGCTCATCCGGCTGTCGCGAGCGGTGACGTTTGTGCCCGACGCGGTGGCGCACCCGACGCCTATTGTGGCACACGCTGAGCTTCCGGAGCAGCTCCACGAGAACGCTGGCGCGCTCTTTCTCCACCTCATTGTCCGCGACCTCCGGCTTGGAGTCCACCTCAATCTGGCAGTCCCGGAGCCGCTCATCTGCACACTCGCCATTTACGACACCGCCAGGTTTGAGCGGGTCTCGGAAGACTTCCACTTTGAGCTCAACTCGGACCGTAACCTGGAGACGCTGGGCATCGATGCCGATGGGCTCACCCGGATCCGGTCTGCGCTCTTCACGGTGAATAACCGGGCGCCGACGCTCGCGCTTGTTCTCTCGGTCTCGCGGCTCATCTCCAAGGACGTTTCCGCGGCGTTTGACCTGTACATGAAGGGCGCCAAGGCGTCGGAGAAGGCTGTCAACAAGCACTTTGCCACAGTCCGCGAAAAGTCGACCCGTATCCGCGAGTTCTGGACTCCGTTCCTCTGGTCAGCGCTCCCGCTCTTCTCGCGGGCCGGCGAACTGCTGCACTCGGGCAAGGGTCTCGAGTTCTCGGCCTTTGTCCGCGACCGCGGTGACTTTACCGAGGTTACGCTCGCAGAAGCCGTTGATGAGATGCTGTTCAAGGACAAGCGGAAGAAGCTCAAGCTCCTGCCCAAGTCTGCGCTGGTCTTTGACCTGCATGTTGTCGAGCCGACGGCGGTGCCGAACCGGATGGACGCCATGGGCGCCCACATTCGCGATGCCAGCGACGTTGCCGACGGCGGCTCCCAGGCGGAAGCGGGCGCGTCATCGTCGTCACTTGCTGACCGCGGGAGCCCGCTTTCGACTCCGCGCGAGCCGGTGGCATTCACCCGCGAGCTCCTCCCGCTGCCGTTCCAGGAGGCACCTCGCCTTGCGGCGTTCCCGTCGATCAACTTTCGGAACTCGCTGCAGATCCTGCTGGAGACGCTCGACCTCACGCCGGCGAGCTCCGTTGCTGACGCCAACTTTCGCAACGCGGTGGTCAAGATCGAGTTCCGGTCATCAGACGCGGCGCCCGACGATCCGGATGGGGTGGTGGCCTCGTGCTGGGGGCACGGCCCGGCGGCGGCGTCGATGGTGCCGTACGTCTACTCGCGGGTTGTCTACCGCGAGAAAACGCCCGCGTTCAACGACGAGGTGCGCATCGCGCTACCGGTTGAGCTGACGGCCAAGCACCATGTGCTCTTCTCGTTCTACCACGTTCTTGTCAAGCCGAAGAAGAAGGAGGCGCGCCGCATCATTCTCGGCGGCTACGCGGTGCTCCCGCTGGTCAACCCGGTCTCGGGCGCGCTTCTCCGGCCGGACCACGTGTACACACTCCCGATTGCATCGTCGCTTCCAAACAACTACCTCGAGTTCCTCAAGGCCGGCAAGCTGCCATGGCTTGCCAACAAAGACCCGCTGTTCCGGTTCAAGGTCTCGCTCTCGTCGAACCTCTACCCGACCGACCGCAGCCTTGTGCGGATCTTTTCACACCCGTCGAGCTCTGCGTCTGTGGGCGAGCTGGTGGCCGGCGTGGGCCGGCTCGACCAGGCTGCTGCCGCCGCCCACTTTGTGGTTCTCGCCGACCGGCTGCTCGAGTACATGGTTGCGTTTGAGGACGAGGTACTCTGCGACGCCGATGCGGGCGACGACGAGGCGCTGGCGGCCAAGCTCTCACCGGCATACGGCTCGGTGGCGGCCTTTATGGCGCTGCTGCGGCTGGTGGCGGTGACACAGGGCGCGCGCGGGAGTGTTGCAGGATCAGTCCCCACCCCCGACGGGCGGCTGCCGCTCTTCTCACTCTACCTCCACCATGCGAGCTTCAACGCCTCGGTCCACACCATTTTGCTCCGGCTCGCGGGCCTCTTTGCCGAGACTCCTGCGCTCGCCAAGAGCGTTCCTCTGGCAAGCACGGCGTGGTTTGTGCTCGAGCTCGCACTGCGGTCGCTGTTCCTTGCGCGGGCGAGCGCCGAGGCACACTTTGACCTTGCGAGCGAGCCCGAGCTGTTCAAGGCGATCACGACGTGCATGCGCGGGCTTGTCCAGCTTGCGCTCACCTCGAACGAGCTCATTACCTCGCGGTCGCTGCTAGAGCACATTGCGGTCTTTATTCGCGACCTGCTCCGGGTGGCCAACCGCTCAGCAGTCCTCCACTGGTTCCAGTACGTGTTTGCGCGGCTCGAGTCGGGTGCGGCCAAGGCTGCCGGAGTGACGACGGCGCTGCAGGTTCATCTTGTCCGGCTTCGGTTTGACGTCGTCCGCATTCTCTCGCAGTTTGAGCACTACCTTCCGCTGCTCTTCCGCCATGGCGAGGCGGTGACAGGCTCGCTTGCGGCGGCGCTGGCGGATGCGTCGCCGCTTCTGCAGGCTCTCTCACAGACACACTTTGTGTCGACGCTCGCGTCTGCGGCGCTGGTGGGCACGCTCGAGGCGAGCTCGGCGTCGTTTGGCCAGCGGAGTGATGCAGTGGCGGCCATGTCGGACGTATTTGCGCGACTCGATGCCGACGCGCGGTACCAATCCAAGGCTGCACGCGAGCACATCGCCGCGTCGCACTTTGCGCTTGTTGTGCTTCTTGTCTCGTCGTTTGACTCGATGGCGAGCTGGCGGGCCAAGGCGAGCCTCTCGCAGCAGCGGCAGGTGTACATGATGGCGCTGTACGTGCTGCGGCACGTGTCGCGGGCCGACCTCGGCCACTGGCTGGCGGCCGAGTCTACGGGCACGCAGTCGCGGTTCATCTCGCTGCTGGTGGCGATTGCCGGAGCATTTCTCTACAACCCCGAGGCTGACTCTGGCGCCGAGACAGCCGAGTCTGTGGCCAAGGGCTCCATGCAGGCACTGGAGGCGTTCTACACTGGCGCCGGAGCAGGCACCGGCTCTTCGACGGGCTCATCGCCGCGGGGTGGCGAGGACAAGTCGGGCTCGCCGGGCACCTCGTCGAGCGGTACCCGGTTCCGACGGTCTGCAACGACAATGCGGACACACGCGATCGGGACGCGGTCGTCGCCGCTGCGGTCGTCGGCGCGGGCCAAGGCCGGGACGCGGCGTTACAAGGCCGGTGGAACACTCAAAGGCCTTGACGCCGGCGCGCTGCGGGCAGGACAGGACGGTGCGTCGCCGCGGCTGGCTCCCGAGGTGGAGGCCAAGCGGCAGCGGCTGCTGACCCAGAGCGTGACGGCTGTCATTGTCGACGTCATGCGGGTTCTGTTCGAGCTCAACCTGCACGTGGCCAAGCCGCGGGACAAGGGCAGTGTCGAGGCACAGGCCGAGGGAGGCAGCAACGGCGATGGCGGTAACGGCAGCGAGGGCGGTGACAGCGAGGCAGAGCCTAGCCCCGGCGGGGTGGCCGAAGCCGAGGCGGCCGAGAAGCTGGCGTCTGCCAAGCAAGAGGCGGCGCACTCTGAGGATGAGCTTGTAGGCAAGATGCTGGAGGTGTACGTGTCGCTGCTGCGGTCGGCACAGGCCGTAGAGGCGTACAGGGTGATGTTTGAACATGTGCGTGTGCTTGTGGCCGAGAACGCCGACGCTATGTTCGCCATCCAGAAGCCGTACTGTGCATCGCTGGCGTCGTCGCTGCTTCCGCTGTGCAACACACGGGTGGACAGCGTTCGCGCTGCCGCCGCGGCTTCCTCTACTTTATGATGAAGGTCAACTACTCGGCGTACGGCAACATCCGCAAGTGTGAGACGCAGATCACGGTGGCGCTGGCGGAGCTCATTTCGTCAGGCGAGGCTCCGGAAGACACATACATCCGCAAAGCGCTTGACGCGATTGCGCACCTTGCCGAGACGGACGGAGCAAGCGTGCCGATGGCGGCCAAGTCTGTGCTCACGCTCCGCAAGGGAACGTCGCTCAAGGCAGCGGCGGCAAACGGGCCGTTGACGTTTGGCGAGATGGTGGTGAGTTTCAAGGATCTGCTCATGACGGTCCTCCGCAACACGATCGAGATTTCCATCGAGCAGCGACAGGAGCCCGTGGACGCAGCGCAGCTGGCAGATCTGTACTATGGCATTGTGCGCGGGTACATGACGGCACCGGAGCTGCGCATTGCGTGGCTGACCGGCCTCTCCAAGGTCCACGAAAAGTACGAGAACTGGTGCGAGGCGGCGATCTGCAAGTGCTGGATCGCAACGACGGTGGCCGAGGCGCTGGCGCAGGACGACCCGTCGTTCCTGTACGACTTTCGGGTCATGTCACGGATCGCACCCGAGTACCAGCGAATCTCGCCAGCGACGCGCGAAGACATTCTTGGCGGGCTGGCTAACTCGTCGGAGGCGTTTATGGAGGGCTCTATCGTGTCGCTGGTCTCTGTGGCGGTCAAGTACTTTGCCAAGGCCTCGTTGTACGAGCTTGTCAACCAGGCATATAAGCTGCTCATTCCGCGGCTGGAGGCGCGCGGGATGTGGCGGCTCCTCGGCGAGGTCCACTCGCACCTTGTGGAGATGATGGGCGAGATCGAGCGGGTGAACGATGCACGCGGAACGCGGCAGCTTGGGGCGTACTACCGGGTCGGGTTTTACGGACCGATGTTCGAGAGCCTCCGGGCTGACGGCGAGGCTGCCGGAGCGACGTCAGACGACTACCTGCGGACGGCGCTCGGCGTCGAGTTTGTGTACAAGGAGGCGCCGTTCACGCACCTGTACACGCTCACGGAGCACCTCTCGTCGATCTTTGTGACGTCAGGGCGGTTCCCAGAGGGCACGATCGAGATCATCAAGGACTCGCGGCCGATCGAGGTGGACGACCTCGAGCCCGGCAAGGGCTACATCCAGATCACATCGCTCGAGCCGTATCTCTCTGCGCGCGAGGCCGCGGAGCGCAAGACCGACTTTGCCACGATTGCTGGCGTTGACAAGTTCATTTACGAGACGCCGTTCACCAAGTCAGGCAAGGCGCGCGGGTCGACGAGTCAGCAGTGGAAGCGCAAGACGATTCTGCGTGTGGCGACGCCGTTCCCGCACCTCCTCAAGCGGTCGCGGGTGGTCGAGTGCACAACGGTGGAGCTTTCGCCGTTGGAGAACGGGGTGGAGGCGATTGCGTCGCGGGTCGCCGGTCTCAGGACGGCGGTCGGCAAGGGCGAGCTCAAGGTGCTCCTGCAGCTGCTTCAGGGATCGGTCCTTCTGCAGGTCAACGCGGGCGCCATCGAGATTGCCGAGGCCTTCCTCGGGCCCAACGCGCCTAAGGCGGGCGACGACGACGAGCTCAATCCGATCCTCCTCGAACGGCTGCGTGTCCAGCTCGGGCTCTTCCTCGACGCGTGCGGCGACGGTCTTGTTATTTCCAAGTCGCTCATCTCGCTCGAGCAGGCCCCACTGCAGGAGGAGATGGAGCGTGGGTACGGGTCGCTCTCAGAGCAGATGGCGCCGTACCTGCTCGAGCGCGAGGAGCGCGAGGCATTCTGGGCCGCACGCGCCGAGGCGGAGGCTGCGGCTGCGGCTGCGGCAGCAGCTGCCGCACGCGCCGCAGCCGAGGCGGAAGCCGCAGCTGCGGAGGTTGCAGCTGCAGCTGCCACTGCCGCTGCCGATGCCGAGGGCGAGGGTGAAGATGATGCCGGGACCGAGGCCGAGGGTGAGGCCGAGGGCGAGGGCGATTCTGAGGCTGGCCATGAGGCCGAGGGCAAGAGCGAGGGCGAGGGCGAAGGCGAGGGTGAGGCCGAGGACGAGAGTAGCGGTGAGCTGCTTTAACCCCCCAGGACAATGAACTTAGCGCAGAGGCGCGTCTTGCAGGCGTGAGAAGACAAAACCTCACATGGCCGAAACCTTCTGCATCCACTTTGGGATCTCAGGCTTGCCCTTGTGGTCGGATGCGAGCCGTTCTTCACCGAGGCGCTTGAACTCCATGTACATGGCGGGGAACTTGCGGAGGACCGGATCGAGGTTGGTCTTTGTGAGCTCGAGGAGAACAACATCAGTCTTTGCGCGGATGGTGGCGGAGCGCGGCTGCTCAAGGAAGAGTGCGATCTCGCCAAAGAAGGCACCCTGGTTGAGGTCAAACTGTTTGCCCGAGTCGAGCTCGACGGTGACGACGCCCTCGGCGACAAAGTACATGGACGAGCCGAGGTCGCCCTTGCGGACGACGACGACGCCCGGGTCGAGGTGGCGACGGCGCATGACAGAGAGAATCTCGTCCATGAAGCGGGCGTCGACGACGTCGAGCTCCGGCCGCTCGGAGCCCTCTTGCGGGTGGTGCTCGATTGGACGACGATCCTTGCGCGACGGCTCCCAGCCGCGCGGCTCCACCTCGAGTGAGCGGGCGTACTGGGCCTTGTCGTCCATGACGGGGACCGAGTCGAGGTAGGCGACGATTGAATCGACCGGGTGGAAGATGTAGCGCTTGGCCTGAAAGGCGAGGACTTCACAGATGACGTTGTACGTCATGCGCTGCTTTTCGATGTTGAACAGGTCGTGCAGTGGGTTTGCAGCCGGAGCGACCGGTGCGGCAGGAGATGCTGGAGCGCTGTCGTCGGGCGGATCGAGACTGTCGGCCACATCGGCCTTCCCTTGCTCGCAGCGCTAGCTTCCGAGTCCGAGTCCGAGTCCGAGTCCGAGTCCGACGCCGCGAGGGCATCTGCGGCCATGAGTGACGAGAGCGGAGCGGCGCCGCGGTCGGAATCGTCATCGTCGTCGTCCGAGTCAGGCACGGCGAGGCGTGTCTCGTTGCCGTCGTCGATAAAGACGAGGTCTTGGAGGTGGACGCCGAGGTAGGGGACAAGCGGCGGGAGCGACTTGCGGAGAACGTCACGGTAAGCGCGGTAGTTGTGTGACATGGACATGAGCTCGCGGAGGTCAGCAAGGATGGTCATGTAGTCTTCGGGGACGCGGGCCCAGGTCCACTTGAGGCGATCGACGGCGGCGCAAGAGAGGGCAGAGATGATGGCCATGAGGCCGGCGTAGTTGTGGAGGGCGGAGAGGTTTGCGGCGACGTCGAGGAGGAGGCAGATGGCGTGGGCACGGACTTCTGTGGTCTCGCCGCGAAGAACTTCTGTGGCGGCCCAGGCAACCTCTGTGTTGAACCGCTCGATGGCGGCGATGACGTTGGGGCACTCGTCGGGGTGCTTGGCCCACTTTTGCTTGAGCAGCTCGACCGACTCGATGGCATGAAAGGCGGCAAAGTCGAGGAGAGTGAGCTGGCGGGCGACCTCGAGGGCGTGGACTTCGAGGACGGAGAAGGCCATGGTGGTGGAGCCGATGAGGATGGACTGCGGAGCGGCGACGGCGTCATTGGCGGAGAGCGGGCCGAGGCCGCGGCGGTCTGCGGCGTAGGACTCGACGCGCTTGAGATACTTGCGCTTGAGCTTGCGCGCGAGCTTGCGGGTGGCCTTGAGACAGTAGCAGGTATGCAGGTCGGCGACGCGATCGAGGAATGCGACGAGGGTCTTGGCGGCAGCGCTTTCTGGGTCTGCAAAAGAGACAAAGTAGTCTGAGATCCAGAGGCCGAGGACGTCAAAGACCTTGGCCTGGATGCCGGGCAGGGTGTGTGCGACAAAGTACGTGACGTGCGAGAGCGGCATGCAGTCGAAGCGGAGGGTGAGGAGGGTGACGAGGGTGTGGGTGGTGACAAACGCGGTGTGGGTGACAAGGACGAGACGAGTGAGGTCAGAGCGGGCGACGTTCGGCTGGGTGATGAGCTCGACCAGAGTGACCAAATCACAGCCGTTGACCTCAAATGCCAGATGCTTGGCGGCGTACGGCTGCGGGCGGGCGATGAGGACCTTGGGCAGGCGCATGCCCGAGTCGGTAACGATCGGGACGGCGCGGAAGCGGGCACCTTGCGGGAGGACTCCCTGGTCGGCGAGGGCTTTGCGCTCGCGCAAGCCGCGGATCCAGCCTTGCAAGCGGAGGACAGAGCCGAGGATGCGCTTGCGCTTGATAACAGCCATTTCTTTGAGCGCAGCTTTGATCTCAGCCTCGCGCTCCTCGCCTAGGTCTGCTGAGAAGCCGTTGCGGAGGAGCCTGTGGGAGATGACCAAGGAGCCGAGCGGGTCTGTGTCTGACGAGTACAGCTCATCGTCGTCATCGCCCGCGGCGCCGCCATAGTTTGAAGTGCCGGACGCATGGGTACCGCTATCGCGCATGACGGCGGCGAGAGAGCGGTTGTAGGGTGCGGCCATGGGCGTGTCTGTGCTCTCGCCGTCGGAGGCGTCAGAGGCGACCGAGCCGTCGTCACTGGCGGCGGCGTCGCCCCAGACCAGTGAGCCCGCACGGACAAGGCGCCTGCGCAGGGCAGCAGCCTCGCGGCGGGCAGCCTCCTTCCTCCTCTCTTCGTGCTCGCGGAAGGCAGCGAGGAGCTGGCGGCGAGCCGCAGCCTCACGGTCCTTCTTCCTGGCCACCTTGCGGAGCTTGTGGTCGACGACAGCACGTGCGGCGGCGGCTTCCTCGGCCTTTGCAGCCTCTCTGGCCTCCAGGCGAGCCCGTGTGGCGGCCACCTCGTCAGCGAACGTGGTGTTGGAGGGCATAGCGAGGGGTGGTGTGCGTGTGTGTGTGTGTGTGGAGGGGGGG